CCAGTTCATCATCGTTATTTCCTTTATCATTAAATGCCCTCTTGGTCTATCTTTGTCTGGTGTTAATATATACGGGATTGCTTGTTTTCTTTTTTTTTTCTTACAGTATTGTGGATTGAACTTAGTGGTACTGTACTACTGACCTATATCCCCAACTCCATTTATTTTTTATTTTGAGACAGGGTCTCACTAAGTTGCTGGGGTTGGACTTGAACTTCTGATCTTCCTTTAGCTTCCTGAATAGCTTGGATTACATGTATGGACTACCATACCTGGCTATTCCACCTTTGTTAAGTATAGTGCATGTATGGTATTTCCTCCTACATAAAAAAAAAAGTGACCTAATGTTTAAAATGCTTCTCATAAACAGCTTTTCAAAAAACAATTAGCAGGCATGGTGGAACACAGCTGTAATCCCAGCAATTTGGAAGACTAAGCCAGGAGTATTAAAAGTTTGAGATCAGCCTGGACACCTTCGACTCTGTCTCAAAATAAAAAGTAAAAAAAAAAAAAAAAAAAGGGTTGGGGAAAGTAGGTCAGTAGTGACAAGCCTTTGGGTTCAACCCCCAGTACCACAAACAAAAACAAAAACCAGTCTATTGATAATTCTAGTTTTCTAATTGGGATGTTTTGTCCATTCATAGAAAATGTAATTACTGGATTTTAAGCTAGGCTTGGTGGCAAACACCTGTAATCCCAGTGTCTTGGGAGGCTGAGACTGAAGGACTGAGGGTTCAAAGCCAGCCTCAGCAAAAGTGAGGTGCTAAGTGACTCAGTGAGACCCTGTCTCTAAATAAAATACAAATGGGCTGGAGATGTGACTCAGTGGTTGAGTGCCCCTGAATTTAATCCCTGGTATGCTGTCCCCTGCCCAAAAAAATAATTTTTGGATGTTAGATTTAACCATGCCATTTGCTATTTTATATTTTCCCCCCATGGTTTTGCTTTTGGATTGATCCAAGTGCTTTTTATTCTTAAACATTAAATGCTAGTTTTTTGTTAAACCATTTTGTATTGTTACTAATCCATCTGTCCCACTGTCTCAGATGTGGAACACCTATATAAACTTAAATACAAAATTTAATTATGTGACATAATTATATAATATAGACGAATGTAATTATAATATTAACTGATATCATAATATATATAAGCTCTAAATTATGGTTTCTGACCTATTTGAATGCACCTGTGTTAATTTTGTTGAAATATTTGCAGAATTGAAAACGTGGAACAGGTTAATTGTTCCTCTAAAGCAGGGTCTGAGACAGAATTAAGCCCTACTGCCCTAAGGAATTCATTGCATGTAATGAATATGCATCAGAATGGCCATTCTAGAATTCAGAAAACAGTCATTCACATAATTTTCCTATGGGATTAACTGACAAAACTCTGGTTGAGAAAAGCTACTTTATTAAGATATCCTTATTAAATCTACATTAAATTAGTATTTTATCACCTCAGCAAACGAGATAAAGTAATTCCATTTTCTTCCTCATCCTTGAATCTATTGTCATTTTACTTTTCATCATGTTATAAATTCATACATTATTTAAACAATCAGTAGTTTTAAAATTTTTCAAAAATTGTTATTTTATATCGACCCACCTATTTGCTTTTCCATGTTCTTCAATTTCATTCCATAAATCTGTGCCTCAACTGGGATTATTTCCCTTTGTGTGAAACACTTCCTGCAGTATTCCTTGTAGCTGTAATCTACTGGCAGTTGATCTCATCAGCTTTTTTTTTTTTGATCTGAAAATACAGTTAGTGTTTATTATTTTTGCAGTGCTCGAGATGGAACCCATGGACTTGATCATGCTACACAAGTGTTCTACTGTGCTACGCCCCCAGTTCTAAATCGTTACTTTTGAAGGATTTGAAGAGTACATAATTCTAGTTTTGAGTTTTTTGCCTGCTTTAAAGATACAATTTCATTTTCTCCTGCTTTAATGTCTGCTGACAAGTCAGCTATGATTCTTTCAAATGTCTTTTTCTTTCTCTTTATTCCTTTAAGATTCTTTAATTTTTTAATAGATTGACTATGATTTTTGTAGATATGGTTTTCTTTGCATTTATCCTGCTTGGGTGTGCTGAACTTCTTGAATCTGTGGGTTCAATTTTAGAAAGCACTCATTGTTTTATGTGCTTAGGCTTGCAGTATTTCTGTTGATATGTTTTTGAATTCAATGATTGCCCCTCGCCCCATGTCAAGCCCACTTACAGAATTTATTTCAGTGATAAGAATTTTCACTTCTAAGATATTTGTTTCTACTTTAGATATTCTATACTTCTATACTGTAGTTCTATGTTATTTCATCCATCTAAATTTTTTCTTGTTTTACTAGTGATAATTCTAAAGTCCTTGTCTGCTAATTCCTATTGTCTATGGGCCAATTTATATTGGTTCTTTTTTTCTTCTGATTACTTTAATATTTACTTTTTAATTTTAGTTGGACACAATATCTTTATTTTACATTTATGTGGTGCTGAGGATCAAACCCAGTGCCTTATGCATGATAGGCAAGCACTCTACCACTGAGCTACAACCTCAACCCCTCTTATAATTATTGATAAGATTATCCTGCTGCTTCATATGGCACTTAATTTTTAAAATTGTGTGTGGATATGACATATAAAAGAACCTCAAAATTTGAAAAAAGAAAAGAGGCTTTCTCCTGGAAGGGAATCACCTTTCTCTGTCAACTCATCAGTTTCAACCATTCAGAGGTTGAGATGGGGCAGTCAGTTTCAGTTCACTTCTGGTTTCAACCATCTTGGGAATAAGAGCTTTCCTGTGACTGTTTCAGGCCATGTGGTCTGTCAGGAATCTAAATACAGAAACAGGAAAAACTCATTTCTTTCTAGGCTGGTGCCCAGCCTCTCATGCTCTTGTACACTCAGCAAAAGCTTCAGGGGGGATAAAAAGTACTGTAAGGAAATACCAGTTCTGAGGACCATCCCTACTACAGTGCACGGTAACCCAGTGAGGCCACACATACTTCACTGGTCTTTCATTCTCCAGTGAAGTTCCCCTGCCTGTGGAGCCTGATCTTCCACCAGCCTGTTCCCAACCAGGGTAAAACAAAGAGGGCCTCATCCTTCTCTGCCCAGTAATTCCTGTACCCTCTTTGTGTCCGAAGATCTCCAGTCTTTAAAGATGTTAAACCACAATTGTTTGTTTTTCCAGTTGCTACAGTGGATTCAAAAGGGTCCAGTAAACCTTCCCCATCCAATCTTGAAGTGGAGCTGTACAACTCTGGAACTTTCAAAATCTCAAATCAATCAGTTTAGAACCAAATCATTTCCAAATTGAATCTTCCAATAAATGTATTATTTTTAATATTTTTTAATTATTGTTGGACACAATACCTCTATTTTATTTATTCATTTTTATGTGATGCTGAGGGTTGAACCCAGGGCCTTGCATGTCCTAGGCGAGTACTCTACCACTGAGCCACAACCCTAGTCCCGAATGTATTGATTTTTAAAGGTCGTCTTTAATATTAGATTGGCTTCAAAATAGTTTTGGTAAATTGTATTTATTTTTTCCTTATGTTGCCCAGGCTGGCGTCAAACTCCAGGGCTTAAGTGATCATTCTGCCTCATTCTCACTCGTAGCTGGGTCTATGACCAGCTTGTTTTGGTAAATTTTAAATTATTCTTGTATGTTAGTGTTACATTTCTATTCTTGATAAATTACAAGTTTGTCTTTATTAAGATATTAAAGTTGTTTCCAGCAATTTTACTAAAAAAAAATTTGTTTTGGTGTGGTGATGAGGCTCAAACCCAGGACCTTGTAAATGCAGTCAAGTGCTCTATAACTGAACTATTCCTGGCCCTAACATTTTCATTATTTCTAATAATTTTTTATTTTATTATTTTTATTTTTATTTTTTTAAAGAGAGTGAGACAGAATTTTTTAATATTTATTTTTTTTTTAGTTATCGGTGGACACAACATCTTTATTTGTATGTGGTGCTGAGGATCGAACCTGGGCCGCACGCATGCCAGGCGAGCACGCTACTGCTTGAGCCACATCCCCAGCCCTCTAATAATTTTTTATATAGATTTCTCTACAGCTTTTCACTTAAGTATCATTGTAAATAATGAGACTTACTTCTACCTTCCTGGTCCTTAGGTATTCTATGTTTTTCTCTTGTCTCACAACGGTATTGCAGTATATATTTGAAATAATGGACACCCTTGTCATCTTCCTATTTTTTTTTTAAAACCAAACTTGCTATTTTGGCCTTGGCTGGTCTGGAACTTCTGGACCCAAGAGATCCTTCTGCTTTAGCCTCCAGAAAACTAGGATCACAGATAATGCCACTGCATCTGGCTTCTTACTGACCTAATGTAATTTTTTTTTTTAAACTTAAGACTTGTTTTTTCCTTTATTGTTACACAGTCTATTGTATTTTTTTAAAGTTGTATATGGACAATTTATTTTTTATGTGGTGCTGAGGATCAAACCTAGTGCCTCACATATGCTAAGCAAGCATTCCACCACACAACTACAACTCCAGCCTAGTCTATTTTGAGAGGTTTTTACATAAATCTCCTCCCTCCCAAATACTGGGGATTGAACTGTGGGGCACTCTATCACTGAGTTATACTACCTCCCCTTTTTATTTTGAGTCTATTTATTTGCAATCTTGGTAAGTTGCCCAGGCTGGCCTCAAATTTGTGAACCTCCAGCCTCAGCCTTCGAAGCAGGAATTATAGGCATGTGCCACTGTGCCGGGCTCAGAAATCTCTCAAATTTACCAAAATTTTTCCTATTCTACTAGGATATTTGTTTAATAATGCAGTATTATTTACAATATTGCTTTATTCATTTTATGTGCCAAATAAGTATTAGGATGGCTAAATGAGGAAGAGTCCTATTTAAAAAGGGAATTATATTTATTGATTCTTCTAGTATAAAACCAACTTTCTCTTTCTGGATAAAGTTAAATTGAACATGACAGATTGTCTTTTTGAAAACTACCTACTTTTATAAATGACTTTTGAAGGCTTTTGGGTTTTATAGTCTTTGTCTTAATTTGTTTTCCTGCTTATATTGTCTTCATATATTGCCAGAATGTGTTCCTTGATTTTCTAAATTCTCAATTGTTTCCATATTGCTTGTAGCTTTTATAGGGCAGAATTCAGTAGTACAGCCATCTGTAGATATTTCAGTGTGGAATATTCAAATGTATTATATAATCCTTCCCAAACCCAAAAAGGCATGTCAAGCACTGTGCTATTGCTTTGAAGTAGGTGTTACAAGTTTCTGTCACCTTGGCGAAAACATCTTAGCATGCTGCAGACAGCTGAATTCCTTTACTAGGTTTGGCCTACTTCCTGTCCTATCATTCATATGTACTTTACTAAAGCATTTAAATTTAAAGTACTTGATATTTCCTTCTTCTCAGGGCTAGTCAGCAAATAATCATCAATATAAAGGACAGCTGCAGATGAATAGTGACATGTTACTGCAGGCACAGCATTAACTGAGTACTGAGAACAGATAATTTGCTCTTATCTTTACAAGTTGGTATGGAGAAAATGGCATTAGTTAGGTCAGTAGGTCACATCTATATAAAGTGAATTAATGAGTGCCTCATTATTAGGGGAAAAAGGATGTGCACTACTATAAGAATACAGGGACACTTAGCAGAAACATGTAAAATCAGTAAATTTATATGCCATCCTATTATGGTGCCTGAAAGTAAAAGAAAGGAGACAATTCTTTAAAAACAAATCATTTGACAATTCAGTTATGGTGTGACACTGTAGCATATTTCTCAATAATTGACAGATCAAGAGATGGTTTGTAATTATACAAATTAAAAAAAAATTACCCAATGGATACATGGATAGATAGCCTGTTATATTCAACAATTAGAAAACATAGGTTTCAATCATACATGAAGGATTCATAAAACTTGAATACACATCAGCTAAAACAGCTGGAACTGAAATCAGTTATAAGTGAAACGTCTCACAAGAGTAGTTTAGCTGGGTGCAATGGTGCATGCCTGTAATCCCAATAACATGGGAGGTGGAGGCAGGAGGATTGCCAAGTTCAAAGCCAGCCTCAGCAAAAGTGAGGTGCTAAGCAACTCAGTGTGACCCTGTCTCTAAATAAAAAATACAAATCAGGGTTGGGGATATGTCTCAGAGTCCCTGAGTTCAATCCCTGGTAAAAAAGAGTAGTTTAAACAGTTAGGAGTTTATTTTCTCATATAACATGAAATTTAGAGATAAGCAGTTCAGGATTGGTGCAGGTAGATATTATGTATCCTCTGTTGTGTCATTAATATCTAGTAACTTTTATCCTCTTGATGATGTATTTCTTAGGAAAAAAGAAAGCATAAGAGAAAGGGCCAATGGTGATAAGAAAATGCTAAATGAGATGTTCCTATTTCCATGAGATTCCTTAGAAGCCACATTCAGTGACATCTGTCTTCTCGTTTTAAGGACTGTGGATACATTTGGCCAATCATATCGTTGCAAGGTAAGTTGGGAAATGAGTGCTTAAACACTGTTTAAATATTGCCAAATTGTGAAATTGCCAAATCTCACAAACAAAATTGTGAGATTTTTATTTTAAGGAACAAAGGGGCAGAGAATGAATACTGGGACAGTAACTAGTTCTATCAGCTACGTACACCACACAGCAAGTTTCTACCAACTTTTTACATTTACCTATATCATTAAGACTATGCATTCTGTCCAAAATGAGTTAAAATAAAGTTAACTAAAATATACATAAGATCTGCCTATTAATAAACTCACTTCTAACTTATCTGTGGGTCTAAAATATCTTGGTAGGAATCAGACATTATTTAATACTAACTTATAATATTACATTATCAAAACTTGTGGTGTTTTTTGAGTCAAGCAGTTTACTGATATATTGTCTTCAATGCTTATTATAAATTAATGAGTTATGGCACTTTAAGGATGAAACAGTCATTACTGATAAGAACTAAGAATTGTGCCTCAATACTTTTTCCACATGGTTTACAATACAATTTCTCTCCAGTGTGAGTTCTAGAATGAGGAATGAGACATGCAGGACAACATAACCTCCTCAAAAGTCATTTCATTCACAGACTTTCTGTCCTGTATGTATTCGCTTGTGCATTATAAGGTTAGTGCTTGTGCTGAAGGCTTTCCCACACTGCATGCATTTATAGGGCTTCTCTCCAGTGTGTGTTCTCACATGTACCCTCAGGCAAGAGGAATTCCTAAAGGCCTTCCCGCATTCTTTACACTCATAGGTTTTCTCTCCAGTGTGAGTTCTTCTGTGCACAATAAGATAAGAGCCTGTGCTGAAGGATTTTCCACACTGATTACACTCATATGGTTTTTCTCCAGTGTGAGACCGTGTGTGTTTCTTAAGGGATGACTGATCAATGAAAGCTTTTCCACAGTCAGTGCATTCATAAGGTTTCTCTCCAGTGTGGGTTCTCACATGTTTCTGAAGGGATGAAGGAACAGTGAAGGCCTTCCCACACTCCTTACAATCATAGGGTTTCTCTCCAGTGTGAGTTCTTTTGTGCACATTGAGATGAGAGCTCTGGCTGAAAGATTTCCCACAATGATTACACTCGTAAGGTTTCTCTCCAGTGTGGGATCTCATATGTTTCTTCAGGGAGGACTGAAAAATGAAGGCTTTTCCACAGTCACTGCACTCATAGAGTTTCTCTTTAGTGTGAGTTCTGACACATTTCTGAAGGGACAAAGGGTCAGTGAAAGCTCTCCCATATTTGTTACATTCCAAGCTCTCCTCCACAGTTTGTATTTTTTTATGAACACTAAGGGAAGACTTTGTTCTACAGTCAGTGCGTTCATAGAATTTCTCTCCAGTATGTATTTGCTCACATCCTGAGAAGGAAAAGTGAAGGCTGAAGGATACACCACACTGATTACACTTGTAAGCCTTCTCTCCTGTGAGAGTTCTTAAGTGTTTTCTAAGGCATGACTCCTGATTGAAAACTTTCCCACAATCCTTACATTCTAAAATTTTCTCTGCAGTGTGCATACTCACATGACTTTTAGTAGTTGAGGGATGTTTGAAGCATTTGCCGTATTCTTTATATTTATAGCATTTCTCTTCCTTGCAATGACTGATACAAATAAGGTAAGGGTTCCTTCTGAAGAATCTTTCTATAGGTTTCTTGCCAGGTTGGGTTGGTACCTATTGAATAAAAAATAAGTGGTGACTAAAGGCTTTCTGACATTAATCTCACCCCTAGGAATTCCCTTCCATGTGGATTTTGCCATATAAAAGTAGTAGATGATTATGACTAATGTTGGTTATGACTTTTTTGTTGTTGGTTGTTTTTTAAGGAGACAGAGTATCACTAAACTGCCCAGGCTGATCTTGAGGCTCAAGTGATCTTCCTGCCTTACCCTTTGAGTGCTGGGACTACAGGTATGACTTTTGCTGTATTAGTTTTTCAAGGTGAATAAGCTATTGAGCTTTGTCCAATAGAGTTTCTCTAATATGAATGAAAAATTAATTATGTATTAAGTACTTAATACTAGAACAATATTTAAGTAAATTGTGGGTATTATCTGTGAAGCAGCAAGTACTAAATTAGGTTTATAGATTTCTCTAATTCTGCCTTCTAGAAGCTTTCTGAATTAGGTTTATAGATTTCGGACCTAGAAACTTTCTGAATTAGGTTTATAGATTTCTCTAATACTGCCTTCTAGTTCAGCTTTCTGAGGAGTAAATGCCTCTTCCTCAACTCATGCCCCTGGATTTTAGAGTAATGTTGTTTTTTACTTGTTGTTAATTCTCATCTTCTATAAAGAACCAGGAATCATTCTTAGCAAACTTTAAGTACTGAGACTGAACCCAGGGCTTTATTCATGGTAGGCAAATGCTATGCCACTGTACTATATCCCCAGACCTTTCTTTTGAGACAGGGTCTTGCTAAGTTGCCCAGGCTGGCATCAAATTTGTGATCCTCAGTGTGATACCATGCCTGGCATCATTTCAGGTACATCTTACCATTTTTATGCCATTGGATGTTGTATTCCCAGGAACATTCTGCACAGGAATTGAATCTTTTAGTTGAGTTTCCCAGTCTGAAAAGCATAGGGAAATTTTAAAAAAAATTATTTTTTAGTTGTATTGGACACAACACCTTTATCTCACTTATTTATTTATTTATTTATTTATTATGTGGTGCTGAGGATCGAACTCAGGGTCTTGAATGTGTGAGGCAAGCGCTCTACCGCTGAGCCACAACCCCAGCCCCGGGGAAATTTTTTTAATAATCATTGGGAGAAAAGGCTAGGATGAAAAGAAAAGGAAACAGGCCCCTGTTGATTGGTTTCCAAACCATAAGAGTAAATACAAGAAAATGTTAAAGGGAAAATGCATCCAGAGACCAAACTCAAACAAACAAAAGGCTCTGGGAAGAGATGTTAAGAATAGAAACATGCAAAGGAAATGAGAGGAATTTACTTGGCAAGGATTCTGGAAGTTTGAGAAAATAAGACGTGGCATTATCTGGAAAGCAAAACAGGAACAACAGAAAACAAACCATTCATGAGGTATTGAATTTAAAGAGGAATTAAAACAGTTCTTTCTCTAAGACCTAATGAAAGTATGAATGAAGAGACTGATAAAAAGAAAATCAGTAATGGCTTCACCCTTTTTTCCCCTGCACTGATTCATTCCCAAATCTCACTAGTCAAGACTTTCCATGCAGTAACTCCTTTCTGCCCAAGACTCACCTTCAAAGGTGCTTTGGAATATTCCTTTCTCCTCTGTCCTCAGCTCTTCTTGTTCTACCTCGGAGATGAGACTATGTTTGCAGAGCTGATACCCTATATACGAGGAAAGACATATGATGTGGGAGGACTGTTAGGAGACAAGAAGACTTTCCACAAAACTGATTCTATACTTTGGCTTCAAAGGAGGCTGAAGATGGTTAAGTTCAGCTTTAGGAGTAGTAATAATCAGAGTAGAGCTCCTTCACAAGGCCCAAGAAGGAAACACTCTGTGCACCATAGGAAAGTGACCTTTGAAACTCAGGTCCAAGATCATACACAGACTACAAATTACCTAAAGCTTTTAATGAGAGGACCATCCATCCCATTCTTTTCACAGACTATAATGCAATAAGTGCTTAAGAACTACTTGCTTTGTGAACAAATGAATAAATGAATTGCACAAGCCTTACCCACTGAGGCCAGGTTCCTAAAGTTCTCCAGCATCACATCTCTGTATAAAATTTTTTGAGCAGGGTCCAGCAATGCCCACTCTTCCTGAGAGAAGTCCACTGCCACTTCCTGGAAGGTCACTGAATTCTAAAACATCATATACACAATCTGGCTCAGCCAATGACTTATCTTCAACAATGAGTTGAGGAAGATGGATGAAGCTGACAGGACTGGGGAAGGGATCCAAGGCATTGAAAGCCAGGACAAGTGTCTGAGGTCTTCTGTTATAGCCCCCAGGCTTAGTTCTCATTAAATCTTCATCCCCTGGGCCATCTCATCCAGGCTTATAGTTTTAGCAGGTTTTTAAAGACATGGTTGACCTGATCTTTGCACAATTAGGTTGTGTGGACTCTTTGTCTTACTTAGATTCTACATAGATAGGGCGGGCTGCAGGAATAAAATACCTGAGAAATTAATGTTTTTTTTTTCCTAGTGGAATTTTTCCCATAGACCCAGCAGAGTATGGAATCCAGAGTTCATATTTCATCTGGATGAGAATCCAAAAAGAAATTTAAAAATATAGTAGCTTTTCCTGACATTCCCTCTTAAAAAGCCCACATAATGGGGAGAGGACTGGGTCAGCCACAGCTGGGGTGTAAAACTGCAAATCATGCATAAGAGATGTGCTTAAAGCACAGTAATATTTTATTGGAAACTGAATTATTTCCTACATACCTGTGACCAAGCTGGTAGCAATCCTGCAGCCATTCTCTCTCTTGGATATTTCTGCCCTAGCTGGACATGGTCCTAAGCAAACAGAGCTAAAAGAGAAGAAAGATGTTCATATTCAACACCTACAGATTCAGAAGCTTCCTTATATTTATATAAGAGTTAAGATTTGTTTTCCTATGCAAGAACATAGTATAATTCTTACATAATATGTACTTACTAATTTTTCTTTTTGAACTTCTTTCTGGCCTGAACCACTGCAAAGCCTTGTAGTCAGTAACAGTTAAGGAGCAGTATATCTTTATAGTGTCAAACTGTCTCTAAATGCCACTTACTCATGCAGAAATCAGGACTTACTGGGGAAAGAGTCGAATACTATACAGAACAACAAATCTTCAAGGTAGATCTAAAGTATTTTGTACCACACCCTTGGTTTAAACATCTTTAAAATGAGACATACCTCTTAGGGTTGGACTGACTAGTTAATGTATGTCAATTACTCAGTTCAACAACTGGCAATCCATAGAGGTTGGTAGAAACTAGAAATTATCATTTGCCTGTATTTCCTTTTAGGTGAATATATTTTCATAAAATAATAAAAGGATCATACTACAGAACAATGTTCATCACACTTAGCTGTATAAACGAAGTCATCAAAATTTAATGCTGCCAAACCTGACAGCAGAGCTGGGATTTGAAATCAGATCTCCTTCACTCAGAGCCCATCTCCAAGGCCCTGACTGCAGGTGCCTGCACCTGATTATATATTATCTCCTGAGAAATCCTACTTTTGTGCATATTTCTTGACACACTTAGCTTAACTATCTATCGATGAGAATACCTCATGGTAGTCTAGGAGGCCAGCAGAGAAGTTCCAGCACACTGCTGGAGAAAAAAGAACGATTATGGATATGTTGAACATAGTTTGCTCCCTAATTGCATCATAGAAAACAGTGAATCCAAGAGCTTTGTGTAGGCCAGCTTGACCCTATGGAATTGGAAGAAGAAAGACAGATTTGAACATTTGAGGACACTGGCCTAGGGAAAACAAATGGGAGGCTCTCAATCAAGAAGGCATATAATTTTTTTTTGGGGGGGGTACCAGAGATTGAACTCAGGGGCAATCAATCACTGAGCCAATCCCCAGCCCTATTTTGTATTTTATTTAGAGACAGGGTCTCACTCAGCACCTCACCATTACTAAGGCTGGCTTTGAATGTGCGATCCTCCTGCCTCAGCCTCCTGAGCCGCTGGGATTATAGGCATGCACTGCCGTGCCCCACAAGAAGGCACATAATTTTAAGATGAAAAAAAATTTAAGTTCTTGGAGATATAAATAATGGAAGGAAGATGTTAAAAATGCAAGACCACTCAATGCGTATATACTTTCAAAAACTGACCTGAAATAAAGTTTTCTCTTAACCCCCCCCCAAAAAAAAAATTGAGAGATTTGGCTGTTTTTAAGAGTTTGGAAATAATAAGGTCTGTGGTCAAATTGGTAGATTATGAAGAAATAATTCCCTAAAAATAAGATTGGTAATTTTTTAACTTTTTTGATGCTGGGGATTAAACTCAGGGCTTCATGTATGCTAGGCATACATGAAACCCAAAGTCTTTTATCCAGGCCCCTAAACACTAAAATCGATAATAAAACAGTAACAGGTATAATCAGGGAAACTAAGTTGAAAAGAAATGGACAAAGAGCTAAGTGCAAATGATAAATTTCTTTCATCTTACTGACAGATCAAATGTTTTAAAGATGGATGGAAAGTGATGGAAGTTACCCAAGCAACCTCAGAAACCAAATGGACTCAATATTCTCAGGAAAAAAGTATATCTTCAAAAGCTTTCTAATTAACATTTCCAAATGTACTGTACATCTTATAGATAATGGCTGTTTCTCATAAAGAATCACATCTTCCTTTTATCTCACCTTGGAGAACTTTCTCCATTGTCCTCAGCTCTTCTTGTACCACATGAAAAGTCAGACTAGGTCTACGTGGCTGGTTCCCTGCTCTTAGGGAAAGAGACATGATGTAAGAAGAATGTGCAAGGGATGACAAATATTTCCATAAACCAAAGGCCAAGATTCTATTTTTCTGGCATTCTGACCATTGTCAGGCATAACTTGAGAAATAACATAATCTTTATGCTCCAAGTAGTCAGCCAGTGAGCTTTCAAGTGAACTACAAATACAAACAGTCTCTCTTTCATTGTGTAACAAAAGAAAAGTGATCTTTCCTCTGAAACACAGGCTTAAGCTTGTACAGTTATGAAGCCTTTTATCTATGGAGAAAACAAAGACAGTACAACAAATAGAATTCCATTTCTTATGAGAAAGTCACTAGACAGTAAGTCTATGAAAGGAGCACCTTTGGTTTGTTTATGATTGCATTGCTATTAATATGCAGACCCTAGAATATGATACTTAATATTTATTCAGGAGGGCTGGGGATGTGGCTCAAGCGGTAGCGCGCTCGCCTGGCATGCGTGCGGCCCGGGTTCGATCCTCAGCACCACATACCAACAAAGATGTTGTGTCCGCCGAGAACTAAAAAATAAATATTAAAAATTCTCTCTCTCTCTCTCTCCTCTCTCACTCTCTCTTTAAAAAAAAAAAATATTTATTCAGGAAAAACTAAATTGAAGAAATGGTACCAACCTTACCAAATGGAATTAGATTCTTGTAGTTCTTCAGCATCGCATCTCTGTATAAGTTTCTCTGAGTTTGGTCCAGCAAAGTCCATTCCTCCTGAGTCAAGTTCATATCCTCAAAGGACACTAAGTCCTAAACCATCATAGACACACTGTGTGAGACAAGGAGCATCCCCACTATGTCCTTTGGAGAAGAATGAGGGACCCAATGCTTTGAATAGGTTCCATGGTCTTCACTGCTCTTCTCTTTTCTATCTGTTCATATTTAGTGGTGACCTAATTTAGTCACATGGCATCTCTTTCACCTGACTGTATCTCACCACAATAGACTGTGATCCGTTTTGGCCTTATTTTTCTCTACTAACAGGTTTTAATGTAGTCTTGAACACATTATAGGCACTCAAATACATGCTTAAATGATAGCATAAAATTCTCTGAGAGACGTACATGTTAATTCTCTCCTTTGCAGTCTATCATAGTAAAATCAAAGAATGAAAAACATAAATGAAATTCAGAATGAATTAGTAAGTATTGGAAAAACGGCATCACTTCCCTATGTAATCCGTTAACCACATGAGAGGCTATAACTTGAGGAAATCTGATTGGAAACTTAGTCCCTAAGTCCTATTTGTTTGAAGAAATTCTTTTCCACTCAGGGGAAATATAGTTACTTGATAGGAAGCAGCATATTTTTCCATAGAAAAGTCAATTTCCTACTTACCTGAGAATGATTTGTCAGCCACTCAGTCACCATATTTTCTTCTTCTGATGTTGCCTCATGAAGACATAAAAAGCCTTGAAGATCCTGAGAAGAGGAAATAAAACTTGAGAACCCAGGATGCCCACAGTTTCCATACTCACAAGCCTGGAAGGCACTTCATACAAATTTTAAGTGGACACAAATTCTAAGTTGCCTTAAAATGCTGAGCAGCCTGTGATGTGTGTGCCAGAAACAGTAGCAGCATAAGTTATTATCGTTATGGTTTGAACATGAGGTGTCCCCCTAAAGTTGTTATGTTAATGAAAGAATATTCAGCAGTGAAATGATTAGATTATGAGGGCTGTCACCTCATCAGTGGATTAATCGATTTGATGCATTAGTAATTTGAATGGAATAGTAGGTGGTAACTATAGGCAAATGGGGTGTGGCTGGAGGAAGTAGATTTCTGGGGGTGTGCCTTTGGGATTATATTTTGACCCTGGCTCTTTAATCTCTCCATTTCTGGTAACTTTTCCCCAGCCGGTCCTTTTGCCATGATGCTCTCTCTCCTCTGGCTCAGAGCAATGGGTGGACTGACCATGTACTGAACTTCTGAAACTCTGAGCCCAAAATAAACTTTTCCTCTAAATTATTCTTGTCAGGTATTTTGGTCACAGTGACAAAAAGGTGATTAACACAACTAGATATAATCTATCCCTAAAGAACCTACCAAAAACAAAACAAAACAAAAAACCAAACCAACTATTCACTACTGCAAGACCAAAAATTAATACATAAAAATCAACTGGGGTGGGTTGGGGATATAGCTCAGTTGGTAGAGTGTTTACCTTCATGCACAATGCTGTGGGTTCAACCCCCAGAACTACCACCACCACCACCATCACACACACACACACACACACACACACACACAAGTAAATAAATAAAATAAATCAGTTGGGTTTCTATAACTAATAATGAACTATCCAAAATAGAAATTAAGAAAACAATCCCATTTCAAGAGAATCAAAAACAATGAAATACTTCGGGATAAATTTAACGAAGATGGTCAAAGGCCTATACACTGCAAATATACAATGTTGAAGAAGACAGATATAAATGTGAAAATATTCTGGATTCACAGATTGGAAGAATTAATGACCTAACACGTGATTTGGGGATGTTTGACATCCAGAGACTGGCGTGCCCTTTTTGCTTGAGAGTCGTCAAAAAATTAGCACCCAGGTAGCATGAAAACCCTCTATGTCTTGGTTTGAATTCTGACCCTGTCCTTATATACTAACCACAATGATTCCTTGCATAATCGAACTTCATTCAGGCTCTTGAACCTTTTCTGAAGCTCACCAGCACAGCTCCTTGGAAACCCAGTTTTAGCAAGAACCCTGTTAAGTCACGGTATCTAGAACTCCCGTCTTCCTAGACACTCCTCCATTTTAAAGCCCAGGGGGTGAGCTGGGCATAGCCCGGTGGTAGAGCGCTGGCCTAGCTGCGTAAGGACCTGAGTTCCACTCCCGACACATGACCACCAAAAAAGGCTCTAGGGAATATGCAGGCTCTGAACTGGGACAGAGGTGATGATTTGGGCGGCCATCCTGGGTTTACTTATAAGCATTCCACCCACACTGTCCATGGTGATCTGATCCACGCGCTCCCTCACAACCTCAGCTCGTCTCCCTCTCCCCGTCCAGAACCGACACCCACAACCAGAAGAATTCCAAACGCTCACCGAGACACTAACTGCCAGGCTGGTGAGGCCAGGAGGCGGCCAGAGCCGGAGGCACCGTGGCCTGGTCGGCAGGGATGTTACTGAGGAGGCTTCCGAACAACGAGCACAGCGCCTGGCAGAGCGCGCGAACCCGCCCGCGCCCGGGGACCCAAGCACCCAAGCGGCCGCTTACGCTCAGGCAGGCGCAGCCGGCCAGGGCTCTCGGAGACAGAGGGAATTGCGGCTCCCGAGCGCCCATGGGAGGCCGGAGCACGCAGCACGTCTCTTTTAGACCCTCCCACTCCCAGGTGACCGCTCCCGGCAGGGTCAGACTTTGAGAGCTCTGAGAGAGAAACTTACCTTCAACGCGGGAGGGAGCCCGCGGTCAAGAAGGTTGCCACCACGCGCACGCGCGGACCCAGGCGGGTGGCGCATGCGCAGACGCGCAAGTTCTGCAGGGGGCGTGGCTCCGGAGGATGGGCTGGCGGAGGGTCGACTTCCCTCGCTTCCAGTCCAGTCTTTGTTGTCAGCAAAGACGTGGTTTGGCTTGGCCAGGAGGGCGAACACCTGATTTTGGGGTCATTTGACACCCACAGACCAGCGTGAACCTTTTGCTTGAGAACTGTCAAAAAATTAGCACCTACGTAGCATGAAAACCCCTCTGTCTTGGTTTGAATCCTGACCTTGTTCTTATAGGCTAACCATAATGATTCTTGGTATGATCAAACTTCAGTCAGGCTCTTGAACCTTTCTGAAGTTCACCGGCACAACTCCTTGTGAAACCCGATTTTAGCAAGAAGGCTGTTAAGTCAGTTTATCCAGAACTCCTTCCTCCCAGTCCTCTATCTGATCATCCTTGATATTAAAGAAAAATCTGAAAATGAAGTTTATTTGAGAAAGAAAAAGGCTCTAAAACCCACAGGCGGTGTTCCAGATTGAAGATGGTTCTGTTAGATGCTAAGCGAGGTTCGCACCTTTTTACCAAAGCGTCCTTTTTGTTTCAGCTAAAACTTTCTGGAGAAACTTACTAAGAACCAGCCAAGGTGACCACGTCAGTCATTCTTTTAGGCACCCAGCAGTAAACTTGGCTCACTGTAATACAGAACTGAGTAGATCCAGAAACGCCAATGTCTGCCATCCTTCCTTCCAGTTGAGCATGCTCAGAAATGTGCCCACCCCTACATGCGATTGTCTGTATAAATATATATAGGTTCACAAAATAAAATGCACATACTTCCTTTCCTCAGGGAGAGCATTGCTTTGCAAATAACTACAGTGCTTTCATTCCTAACTGAGGGTAACAAATCCTTCTCTATTTTTTTCTTTGGGTACTAGGGATTAAACTCAGGGGCACTTAACCATTGGCCACAACCCCAACCCTTTCAAATAATTTATTTAGAGACAGTGTCTTGCTGAATTGCTTAGGATCTCACTAAATTGCTGAGGCTGGCTTTGAACTTCAATCCTCCTGCCTCAGTCTCCTGAGCTGCTGGGATTACAGGCATGCACCCCATGAGCCAGCTTTTTCTATTCATTACCTTCTGGTTGTGCTCACTGGGTCCACATTGATCAAGAAAAGAACCTATTACATTA